TGCAATCTTTAGCTAAATCTGCCTATTGCAGGTCTTTCTTTAGGCCTGAAATTGTATCTAAATTATTAATCAGACATTAATTAACTATCAAGACCATAATCAACTCCCAATGTCATCGCTAGTCTGTGATATTTATTTGATTAGGATCGGATTTGCTGCTCAACTTTCATTCATGATTTAATTATCAAATGGATAATCGAGACTATTGACTTAAGTAATAATGACTTTGGCTAGGCTGAATATTCAATCCCTAAAATCTTGGTTCAGAGTGGATCAATTTGAATGAAATTTTTAGCAAATTCCCTTTACATTATCTCGTTTTTAACAATTATAGTAAGAACTGCCAGCTCTTTAATCTCCCATAATGTATCTTTAATGATTCATTTTGATTCGTATTACTATTACCTTACCTCTTCTATATTAAACTTGTCTAAAACATCCTTCTCTATCTGTCTCGATTTCAAAAAGTTACACACCTGAAGCAAAAAAGGATTACTGAAATCAGATAACGGGTAATAATAAATGAGCAAGATTAGAGTAGCCTATAGGCAGCAATTTTGTAATCAAATTGTTGATGTACATGTAGGTCTATAGGGCTCAACTTTCCTGAACACACAGTTGCACTTGCAGACAGATCCTAGAATTCTAATCTTATAAATGTAGATAGATATGCAATGTCATTTAGATTTATATGAAAGTACATATGGAGGCCATATTTATTATAGTAGTGAGAAAACTAGATGTCTATATAGATGTTGTTATTTGTTATTACTTTATTAGCCTTAAATTCTATCTAAAAAAAGGATTGATTTTTGAGGCGAAATATAGTATTTACTTGACAGTATGACGATTTTCATCAGGCCCTAAATCGAGTTTGTGCAAACATTTTTCTTGGAACTCTCAGGATTTGTGATCCTGGTGTTATAGTTATGCTTTCCAAAATGTATTAAGTTTGTTTATTAGGGAGGACCTATAGGATCTTCACGCTAGTAATTTTGGCTGCAGGCCTATATATAGGCCTATTACATATTCATATGGATCAGTAATAGTAATAGGCCTATACTATGACTATAGGGGCCTAGTCATAAGGCAAGACCAAACAATTTAAGAGTCTTTACTCTTTTTTTTCATAATGTGTGACCTGACTGATCTTCGATAATTGAGAGCGACATTTTAGTCACCGAAACGACAAGTACGGGGGAAAAAAAGCTACATTTCCAGGCCAGTAGGCCTAATAAATATGTTAATTGCAGTTATTTCGAAAAACAACGGTAGTCTACTTCAGTAGCCCTACTTGTCAAGGTTCGGGTTTTTAAGTTTTACGTGCACGCAAATCAACTGTGTACACAAGGGACCTCGGATTTTTGTACTAGGCTATTCGAATCCGAAAGACTAGGCCTATACGTACCGTTGTTCCTTGCCAGACCTCCCGTCCTACACCATTGACGGCAGTGACATTATTAAATCATAGAAGAGGGGCAAGAGGAATCACGCTGGAACACGTGGGCCAACAGAACGTTCTAGAACTTCTCTAGGCCGTGACTTCCATCCATGGTATAAAATCCAAGAAGTTAAGCTTCATCGATATCATGATTAATAAATGCACGTGAAAAACGCAGAACATGACCAATCTACTCATCATAATCTACGATTCATTAACCTGCTGATATTACTTACCTCCAATACACTCTTTCTGTTCATGATTTTAGTCGAGTCCACAACAATGCCAATGGCGGGCGAAAATTAGCGTTTTGGAAACGAGGCTAATTGAGATGACATCACGCGCTGGGTGGAAAATCAACAGAATTGAAATTATATTATAAATGACTTGGGTGAAAATTAAAATTGACTTGGGTGAAAATTATAAAAAACAAATTAAATTACAAATGACTTGGGTGGAAATTAAAATTGACTTGGGTGAAAATTATAAAAAACAAATTATAATAAAATTGACTTGGGTGAAAAAAAAAACAAATTATATTAAAATTGACTTGGGTGAAAATTAAAAAAAACAAATTATATTAAAATTGACTTGGATGAAAATTATAAAAAACAAAATATATTAAAATTGACTTGGATGAATATTAAAAAAATATATATATATTATTTTTCATGTCCCTTATCAGCCACCGTAGATATGAGGGTTTCCAGAATTGAATGTCGACATTAATATGTATTATACAGTAGACCTTTAAAGGCCTACTAATGCAAAGAAGCTGTTAATTAAACCTGCATTATTCAAGAGCTAAATCTGTCTATTGCAAGTCTTTCTTTAGGCCTTAAATGTTATATACGGTACATTATTAATTAGACATTTGTTAACATGACAAGACCATAACCAACCTTCTATGCCGTCGGATAGCTCCAAATTAAATAGATTTTTGGTAAAACAATTCGGTCATTTGATGATTAATTTAAAAATGGAAAAGCGAGGCCAAGTCTCGAATATACCAATACATATGATAGCAATGCACATATCTTGTCAAAACTACAAACAGTGATAACTTGGCTTAGAATAAAATATTTTGAATAAATTTTTCAATATCTACATTTTGCATTATCTATTTTTGAACTACATAATGTATCTTTAAAGTTTAATACTTTAGGCCAATAAAGGAAAACCAAAGTTACTATAGGCCTGGGATGAGCGTTTGGGTTTTTTGGGGTTTTTTAACATATAGAGTATGGAGATAAATTGTAATAGTTTTTAGAAATGTAATACAAATGAAATGAAATGAAACGGGGTTTAAAGTCCTACTGTTTTACTCCGAACTAGGCTAATGAAGACTGGGCTAATGAAGACGAGCATAGGAAATGAAGAGAAATGAAATGGGGTATAACGTCCTACTGTTCTGCTCCGACTGAGCTAATAAAGACGGGCATATGCCATATAGTGTGCTTTGTGGGAAATTTTGCCCGGACAGCGGCACTCTGATCTACTCGTGTATCGAATTCCAACTGCGAAGGGATCTTTTACATGTACGCACACGGGACCTCGTTGTTTTGTCCCTTCGGAACGACTAGACAGTTGTTCTGGTCAGCCCCCCCCCCCCATCCTGCACCAATGAAGACGAGCATAGGAAATGAAGTGAAATGAAATGGGATATAATGTCCTACAGTTCTGCTCCGACTGAGCTAATAAAGACGGGCATATGCCTTATAGTGTGCTTTGTGGGATATTTTGCCCGGACAGCGGCACTCTGATCTAATCGTGTATCGAATTCCAACTGCGAAGGGATCTTTTACATGTACGCACACGGGACCTCGTTTTTTTGTCCCTTCGGAACGACTAGATAGTTGTTCTGGTCACCCCCCCCCCCCCATCCTGCACCAATGACAAGGGGAAACCACGTCAGAAAATCTCGACGAACTTTATCGGCCAATGCAGGGATCAAGATATGTAATACAGGTGTTTTTTGTGTATTATTATTATTACAGCATATTTATAGTGCGTCCTTTCATATAACATGTTCAGGAGCACTTTACAAAGTGACAATGTAATCATAAATAAACAGCAAGATTATGGACATGTTAACGATTGTATAGAGAGTCAGTTAAAAGCCTGATTAAATAAATGTGTTTTAGGTTGTTTTTTAAAAGAATATAGAGATGTCCAACATCTGAAACTAAATGGTAGATGGAGCTTAAGAGGAGATGTCCGCTCCCCTCATGTTTCACACCAAAAAGCTTCGATATAAATCTTCTATAGCTCGGTATCAACCTGAATATTTCATCATATTATGTCTTGGTTTGTTGTTGTTTTTTTTTGTTGTTTTTTTTGTTTTTTGGGGTTTTTTTTTGGGGGGGGGGGCATAATAATAATAATAAATAAAATAAAACAAAGTACGAACAATCCAAACCATTAGACAAAATTCGAAGTCCTAAAAAAACGGTATAGGCAAAATAGTGTAATAAGGTAAAATAGTGTAATCAGCATATTTATTATTTTGCCGTGATAAAATTAAACTGATGTATTTTTACACCTTTCCTAATACTTGAAAGGCACGATTTTATCATTGAGATTGCATTATATTTGCAATAGATATATTTAATGCACCATCAGCTAAATAAAATGAATCTTTGAATTTCTTGGATAAGAAATGTCTATCTTATCGCACTGGTAAAAGATATATAGGCTTATGATTTAGAATAACATACTGTTCCCTGTTTTATGATAGGCCACCGGCTTACTAATACTCACACTGTTTTTCTATGAAGAATTAAAAATTGGATATGATTTTTCTTTTTGGTAGATTCTCCACAATAATTAATATGGATCAGCTTGATTATATAATTATTACAAGTAGGCCTACTGTTGAATCACATTTTCCATTCCATAACCTTAGGGAAAACTATTCCTTCTTTGGTGCGGTGTGATATGAATTTAGTCAAACCTTTTTCCGTCTTTCACTCATTTCAGAAAATGCAGAGTATGCCGTCCGCGCCTTCCCTTGATTACTTTCTCATTATTGTTTGAAATTATAAGTTAAATATAAAATTATGAAATAGTTTTGAAAATTAATTTTTAAAAATTGTGAAATAGTTTTGAAAATTAATTTTCAATATTAGAAAATCAAGTTTAAAATTCAAATAACAAATAGCCCCCCCCCCCCCCAAAAAAAAAAAAACTAAAACATTAAAGAAAAACAACAAGAAACAGTTTGTAATAAATGGGTTTTGATAATTATTTAAAATTCAATCATTTAAAAATCTAAAACTATGAATTTACCCACAAAAATACTTGACAACAAATATTTTAAAATCTAAAACTATGAATTTACCCACAAAAAAAAAAAAATACTTAACAGCAAGTAAGTTAGAAAAAGAGTGACGTGTGAGAGGGGTCTGACGTCAAATAGTGGGTGGCAATGACGTAGACCGCGCAAGCTGTTTGAGTCGAAGGCAAGAAGCACTGACTTCCGCCCGTGACAGAAGACATCAAAATGGCACATTTTTAGTATTACGTTACACTTGACGTATATTCTTTTATGTGAATAAAAATGGTTCGTTCATGCTGCGCAATTGGCTGTACAAATCGCGATACCCCAGAGAATAGAAAGAAGGACATTACGTTTCATCAGTAAGTCATTTTGAACTTTTTTTAGAATGTTAAAATAAACTTCGACTGCATAAGATCACGAACTGACGAAGGTCAAATAGGCCCTATAGTCCTATAGGCCTAGACCTAATCTAACAATTTGAATATGCTACTACTGCTAGACTTCGACCTTTGTTGACACCAATAATAGCCAACCTCACTACATACCACAAATAAGCTTTCTTTAATACTAATAAAATTTGTAGACCTAACAATGATTAATAATGATTAATAAACAAAGTCAAAACAAATGGGTATAGCCTTATATGGCTATGGATAGATACATAACATAGATAGGCCCACTTACCACGTAGTAACCTGCATTCATCATAGTATTCATAGTCAATAGGCCTATTATATATAGACCAACATAAATGGTGATAATACCAGTATCATTAATCATTGGCATAGGATTTATCTGGTTTTAAACTGTTGTGGATATTTTTTTTTTATCTTTACAAATTACACTCATATATTTATTCTTTTGTTTCAGAATTCCTAATGACCCTGGTCAAAGAAAGTCATGGTTAATTGCCATTAACAGATTAGACCTGGATGGAAAACATTCCTGGGAGCCATCAAGTATCCAGACACTTTGTTCCCAACACTTTCAGGAAGATGATTTCATGAAATCAAAACATGCTGGTAACAAATTGTTGAAAAAGGGCAGTGTTCCATCCATTTTTTCTTGGAAGACATCCGCAAATGTTAAGGTACTGGTACAGCAGGTTTTAATAAATTTCTAGTAATGATAATAGTATAAAATGTCCACTTTTTAAAATGACAACTTTCAACTACAGGTGTTTTGTAATTTTGCACCTGATAAATAAGAGTATGTAGTTGATGGCATATGATGGTTATATCATCCAGATTTTCCGGCGTGGTTCCCCCTTGTCAGTGATGCAGGACGGAGGGCCTGACAAGGGCAGCTGTCTAGTCCTTCGGATGAGACGAAAACCCGAGGTCCTGTGTATACATTGGAATGCACGTAAAAGATCCCTTGGCAGTTGGAATTCGATATAAGAGTAGGCGATAGTGCCGCTGCCCGGGCAAAATTTCTCTCATAGCAGGCAGTATGGCGTATGCCCGTCTTCATTAGCCCAGCATAGGAGCAGAACAGTAAGACGTTAAACCCCATTTCATTTCATTTCAGATGGTTATTATGCAATTTAGATTGAAAAAGTACTTCGTCCACCCGAGTGTAGTCTCGTTTACCCTTTTCTTTTATTTATAGATTATTTCAAGACAAACCTCTTCAAGCAAAAGGGCCAGAGTAGATGTAGAGCCCTCAAGAGTTATAGTATCTCCATCATATTTACCATCCATTGAACACAATTACCATCATGATTTAAATACCATGAAAGAAAAATTAGACGATGCCACCAATAGACTGGAAAACACAGCCCACCAACTTGCCTTAAACAAACGCAGAGAAAAACGTGCAAAAATGGTAATTGGTAGTGTTGTTAACCAGCTTCATGATGAAAAGAAATTATCAGAAAAGGCTCAACAAATGATTGATTCATATAAAGGTTTGACTTTACATATAAACATTGCGTGTACCTTTTTAGAATAACTGAGTCTTATGGTGATAATTTAAAGTATTTGTTGTAACAGAATTTAAAATCACACAAGCTATAGAACAATAAGAGCTTGTTATTTCTTTATTATTTTATAATAGATAAGGAACTAATTATTTGTTTTTATAGTGTCATGAAAAAATACCATTCATATTTTTTAAAGGAATATTTCCTTCAGTACACATTTTATATATTTATTACATGCATGCTAAAATAAATTCCTCTGAGAAATTTAGAATCTAAAATATATTTTCTATCCAATAACCCCATCTGAGACATATTTGTTTTTCAGACCCTGTATGTTGCATGGTACATAACAGGCATGTCCCTTTATAAAAACCTGTGGTCATTTGTATTCATAAATGCCTCCAATAGAACTATTAAATTGCTGTTGAAATGGTTCAAAATTAGAAATAAATTAATAATAAACAACTGAATTATGATATTTGTGACAATTTTAGATATTCCTGTTGACCTGTTCACTAAACCTGCTTCTGAATACTCTGAAGACCAAAAGAAGTTTTCAACCACTCTGTATTTTTATGGACCGAAAGCCTACAACTATTTAAGAAGCAAGGTCAACTTACCACACCAATCCACGATTAGAAGGTAATTACTTTTTCTCCATTCATATCTTACAAAATGTGGGTGTATCTTGCATGGGAACTGGTTGTTTTTATTGCTTCTATATTTGTCAGTATTTTATTTTACAATTTGTACTTGGAATATTGCCATTTATTGTCAGAATATTATTATGAAATGTGAAAATAATGAAATTTATAATTTGCTGGGAAAGTCTGTATGATCAAGGACTCTATTTTGAATTAATCATTGGCAAAATTTCATAATAATAATAAGTATTATAGATTTATATTTTTCTCAGTTTTTAGAATTAAGGATTTATTGTTTTTGTTTTACTAAAAAGTAAGTCTTTGTATTTTTTAATTGTTGTTTCTTTATGACTAATTTTACTTTTACAGTTTATTCCAGACTACACCAAACTAAAGTTTATTTATTATTCCATTTGTTTGAATGATACTGTTGTACGTTAATATTTTTTTTGTTTTATTACTTTTAAAAAAAATAATTAAATAATGGTTCAAATATTACTTAAATTAACTCTTTGAAATTGATGTTCCATTTTCATTAAATGTGCATATATGAAACGCTTCATCGAGCACATACATGTATAATAATAATATGTACAGTATTTATGATTGCACTTGCATATAATGTCATGCATAGTTTTGTGTTATCTAGCTAGTGAAGGAAAAGGTACACAGTTCTTAGGATTGCGGCATTGACAGCGAACGTAAAAGATCGTAAGAGTAGATGGATTCGCTACTGCCCAGCCCAGGCAAAATTTTCCCACATTTCGCAGCTCAATATGGAATGAAAACAAAACATGCCGTTGTCCCATTATAAACAACACCAAATGATGACATAAAAATAATTGTAACATGGATGGGAAATCTTTCTTTGTTCTTTTCGTTGAATAAGCGGATTGTTTTCCCTGTAGTAGATTGGGTGGGGCTTAACCGTGCAATAACTAGACATCTTCATTATTATGGTTTTCTGTGCAATAACAATGAGCATGATGAGCAGGTGCCAATGTTACAAGTCATTTATAGCACGCTTCATTCGTCATATTCATATATTTCTCTATTCTGTATACTTGTAGGTGGCTGAGTAACATATCTTCTCAACCAGGTCTCTCTAGTCAAGTTATAAACATGCTTCAGCAGAAAGTTCAAAGTGATGAATGGACCTACAAACACTGCAGTCTGATGATTGATGGCATGTCCATAAGAAAACACATTGATTGGGATGCAAAGAACAGTCAAATGGTTGGTTTTGTTAATTTAGGTTCTGGACCAGTTGAAAATGATGCAGTTGAGGCACCTGAAGTCATAGTGATACTAGCTGTTGGTTTACAAGGTCACTGGAAAGTACCACTAGGTTATTTCCTTGTTGATGGAATATCAGCAGAGATACAAAGCCAGCTTCTTTTGACAGCAATATCATCACTTTACCAAATTTGTATTAGAGTAACATCTATTGTGATGGATGGGCATCCAACCAACCAAAGAATGGCAAACATTTTAGGAGGCAATTTAAACCCTGACAACATCAGAAGTACTTTCCAACATCCATCTAATCCAGAATTAAACATATATATATTCTTTTATGCTTGTCATCTTCTCAAACACTTCCGTGGAGCTCTCCATTCTCTTCAACAACTGCAGGAAGAAACTATTGGTACAGCAAATTGGTCAGACATAAAAAGACTTGAAGAATTACAACGAAATGAAGGCTTAAGAGCAGCTAATAGGCTAACAAAGAAGCACATAGAATTTACCAATCAAAAAATGAATGTTAAATTAGCAGTACAAGTTTTAAGTAGTTCGGTTGCTAAATCCTTAGAATTTGCTTCTTCAGTCTGTGAAGATTTTGGAAATTGTCAAGGAACAATCAATCTTGTTGCCATGGTGGATCGAATGTTTGATATTTTCAACAGTAGAACGCCAGCTGCAAAAGGTTTTAAGCATCCCATTAATGCAAGAAATTTTGAGTCTTTTGAATCCTTTTTTTTATCCACCAGTTCTGTACTATTAAACTTAAAAGATATGACTGGTCAGAAAGTCTGCCATTGAAAAAGGAAGATATGTATCATTGGTTTCTTGTGTAACATTCAAAGCCTTCTTGATCTTGCGAGAGAGATGATTTTATCAAATCCACCAGCACTGAAATACTTGTTGACTTACAAATTGTCACAAGATCACCTTGAGCTACTTTTTTCTGCCATTAGGAGATATGGGGGATGGAACAACAATCCATCTGCAGTACAATTTTCGAATGCATATAGATCTCTACTGGGTCATGTTGGTGTAAGCGGAACAATCGATGGCAGCACCTCATGTGTACCACAAGACATAACCTCTATCTTGGAAGTCAACAACACAGAAATAATTACCTTTGAAGATGCTCTTGCAGACCATGATTATCCCATCAATGGCAGAGGTATCAGTTCATTTGTAGAGGGTGTCCTTGAATATATAGCTGGCTGGGTTGTTAGAAAATTGATGTCTAAAGTTCAGTGTGTGCCCTGTGCCCATGCCTTAGTAAAACCTAAAACTGATAACAAATATGGGCTTCTAAATATACTATTCAAAAAAAGTAGGGGATATTTGATTTTGGGGGCATAATACTAAAATATGCAAATGACTACGAAAAAAGTCACTATAGAACCTAACAGAAGAAACATTTCCAGTTACATGTGACGCCCAAACGCACCAATAGCTACCGCATGGAATGCAGGTGATGCTTGGGATCATCATGGGGGTCCAACCCAAGATTTGCACGACTCTGACTTTGAATGTTACAGTCATTGTGGCATTGAATTCCAGGGTGGAAACATCAGTTTAATTGTTTTAGTGACCAGAAAAAAAATTTTGATATGCGTCGGCTTACCCAAAATGAAAGGTTACGTGCCCTTGGCATGCTACAGATCGGCACAACACAGGCGGTTGTGGCGCGGACGATGAATGTTTCTCAGTCTGTCATAAGCAGGCTATGGTCCAGATACCGTGATACACAATCTGTACAGGACAGACCACGCTCAGGTCGACCAAGGGCGACAACTCAAGCCCAGGATCGATTTATCCGTACCTTGGCCTTGAGAAATCGTGTCATCACAGCAAATCAGATCAGCGCTCGTCTTCAAACAGACACTGGTGTGAGAGTGAGTGGCCAGACGATTCGGAATCTACTGCATAGGGGTCACCTTCGCGTCTGACGTCCTCGCGTGATCCCTTGTTTGAGAGATCATCACATTCAGGCAAGACGTCGTTGGTGTAGGGATCGTCAACACTGGGATAATCGACGCGGGAGCAATGTGATGTTTTCAGATGAGTCAAGGTTCACTGTTGATTTTTTGGACAGACGTAGGAGGGTGTGGCGTCGTCGAAACGAGCGCTTCCAAGACGTTAACGTCATCAGACATGATCGATTTGGGGGTGGTTCTGTTATGGTGTGGGGAGGCATCACTGTTGCTGGAAGAACGGCTTTACATGTTGTTGCAGGGCGTGTTACAGGCCAGTACTACCGGGACAACATCTTGGCAGTCCATGTTGTGCCGTTCGCACGACGTCATGGCCGCCGTTTCATCTTCCAGGATGACAACGCAAGATGTCACAGGGCCAGGATCGTTACAGGTTACCTCCAACAACAGAACATCACCACATTACCTTGGCCAGCACGGAGTCCCGACCTCTCCCCCATCGAGCATGTCTGGGACATGCTTGGACAGAGGTTACGTCAACGTCAACAACGTCCTGCCAATGTCCAAGAACTTGCTGCTGCGTTGCAACAGGAATGGGACAATCTGGACCAAAATGACCTTAGACGTCTCATTAGGAGTATGCCACGTCGGATCAATGCTTGTTTGGCAAACAGAGGAGGATTTACCCGTTACTGACTTGGTTGTGATGCTGTGGTAACTTTGCTGTTTGACCCCGGGTATCATTTTACCCTTATAATGGTCAGTCTGTGCCTTACTTAGTCTAACGATCATTTGGAATAAATCGATGAATGTGAACTTCATTTCATTTTGTCATTTGTTTCTTCGTCAGTTTCATTAGGTGACTTTAATAACACTTAAAAATCAAATATCCCCTACTTTTTTTGAATAGTATATAAAAAACAATGGAGGACTATGCATTCCATCAAATGATGTTATCCAGATTGTTCGACAATGTGAAGTTATACTCAGATCTTTTGTCAATATCAAACATGTTAAACCAAATGAATGGGAAAATGTTGTTGTATCTAAAGTTATGATGAATTTACCTTCTACTTTATTCTCTCATCTGAATGATCATTTCATAGAAACATGTAAAGGAATAGACACCTATTATTATAATTTGTTGAAATTAATTTGTAGTCAGTTCATAAAGTTAAGAAGATTTCATGTGGTGAGATTAACTAATTTAGCACTACAGGGACAATGTGTAAGACAAAAGTTAACAAGAACTGTACTTTTCCAAAATCAGTAGAATTATTAACTATGTTAATCTCTGTTTGACAAAATATAAATGCTTGAAATACTGTGTCGTATGTAGCATTGTTATATTAGTTATAATGACAGATTCGTGTAATCTGTATAGGGGGTCGAATCAACTGCCGTGGTTTTGATTCCCCGTTTGTACGTGACAAGGAGTAGGGTCGCCTGTCCAACCTTGTGAGTTTTCTCTGAGTCCTCCGGTTTCCTCCCACTGCTAAAGACCCCTGCGAGCGCAAGTGAACTATTCATATAAATTGAAATGATATGAAATGGGGTTAACGTCCTACTGTTCTGCTTCGAACTGGGCTAATGAAGACGGACATACGCCATACAGTGTGCTATGAGGGGAAATTTTGCCCAGACAGCGGCACTACGGCCTACTCTTACATCGAATTCCAACTGTCAAGGAAAGATGTACACGGGCCCTTGGTTTTTTGTCCCATCCGAACGACTAGACAACTGTACTTGTCAGGCCCTCCGTCCTGCATCACTGACATGTGGGAACCACACTGGAAAATCTGGAAGAACTTTCTCGGCCAATGCAGGGATCGAACACCTGACCCCCAGGCTGGCGAGCCAGCGTCTTACCAAATAAGTTGAACCATATGTTAGTCCCAAAATGACCTAGTGTGTGTCGAGTAGACATTAACCCCATTTCTCTCTCTCTCTCTCTGTAACCTGTATAATTCAAATATATATTTGTTTGGTTATTTGTAAAGGTACTCCCAAACTCCAAAATGCATAGGCATGAATGAACTAAGATGTGAAAATATTATTAGTAAAATATTCAACCTTTTACACAAGTCGTAATTAATCAGTTAATATATATGCATTTGGTTGTGGCACAATTTACCCAAATCCACATAAATCAAATGCGATTTCCAAGAAAATTTGGAAATTGTAAGCGAATCCATCATTATTCTAACTCATATCACAATAATTTATATCGATATTAGATAATATACAGCTCTTATGCTAAATTGTCATTTGGAAATTAAAATCGTAACGTTCTTGGGACATAACTTGTGTATTTCACGAAATCACTTGCTTTTTGTAAATTGCATTTTGCGGTACAGTTTGGAAACAAATTTTACGATTTTAAATTGAAAATGTCAATTTGACATACAGAAGGATATATTATCAAATACATGTAGATATAAAATATTATAATCAGAGTTGAAATAATGTTGGATTTGGGTACCGGTACATGTGAATTTGGATAAATAGTGCTATCGTGCATTTGGCACATGACTGTCAATTTTCAACTGAGCAATGAAATGTAAAACCTGTGCTAAAAATAAGATGAAAAATATTATTCATGTGATGGTGTATTTGTAATTAAATCTAATATTTGTTCATATTTGTATTCTTTGTGTTTTCCAAAAATCCATTTTCGGTCAAGAAAAATGTACTCTTTTTATTGGAACAAATTCTTCCAACACACTTATATTTATTTACTTGTTTAAACCCCCCGAGTCCTTTACACTGACCGTTTCCAAACATATTTCGGTGTTTACAATATTAGTCCGAATGGTATTATTTCCAGAATCTTACTCAGTAATTATAAACTAGAGATGCTTAAGAATGCGAGTATCCATGTAGGTTATTAAAAGATTAATTTATTAGTTCAGTTAAATCTATTTAAACTTTCCCCACAAACCCCACCACGACAACAACAAAAATACCTAACTTTTCGACACTCCGTCCGACTCTATTTTTTGGAAAGGTGGGGGGGGGGGGGTTACTGTAAGCAAACACAGGTATTATTATTATTTCTAGGGCCCTAATAGTAAAACAAATGTCTGGAAATTAATATTTATTTCATTAAATTATTCAGTCCGAGAATAAATGAACTGAGTGTCTTATGAAGGTAGCGCTAAGGAGTCACGTTCACTATTTGTTTACATAGGATACCGTTCTTCTTGCCACGGGCGGAAGTCAGCAGCGATTGGTCATGGCGGCCAATGACGATTTAGTAGTCTGCGCGGTCTATCTATATATCTACGTCATTGGTGGGTGGTGTCATCAATTTCTGCCAATAGTATAGCGCATGCGCATAAGACCTGGCTCCAGTGGATGGAAAAAAATGCT